CTGGGAACAGGCGCAGCGGTGCTGTGCCAGCCTCACCCGCAGCAGCAGAGGGGAGCTGAAGAGCAACTGGAACACGGTACGTGCATGTTCCTGGGTGCTGGATAATAAAGCAGCTGCTGAGCTCCTCTAGGACAGGCTCATTTTAGCTGTTTTTAGGAGCCATCCCTGCAAGGCCCTGTCCTGTCCCCCAGAGCTGAGGGGCCAAACCCGTGCTGGGGAGCAGCAGCACAACGTGGATGTCTGCAGAAGAGACAAATGAGACCTGGCCCCTCCAGGGAGCAGCCAGACCTATTTCATACAGATGCAGCTGCTGCACCAAGGGAAATGGCAAAGAGGCTGTAAGGGGAACGCAGGAGTTGCAGCCCACGCTGCGGCTGCAGCCCAGGAATTGCTACCAGCAGCACTATGCTTGCTCCCCACTCACCCCATCAGTGTCTGTCAGCGCTTGGAAAAAATGAGAAACCAGAGCAGGACAGGAGAAGCCAGGGTGCTCCAGCCCCGGCGCCTGCGGTGCTCTGACTTGGCAAATAACTTTCCTGACACTGCTCCCCCTTCCCCAGAGCTGCCCCATCCTCCTTTGCGAGGGCAAAGATCAGGCACTTCTCTGCCTCTCCTCTCATTTTACAGCTGGCTGCCTGCCCTCCCCAGCCCAGGGCAGGTAACTACAAGCTGGTCAGCAACTTTGGCAGCGGTACTGCAGGCTGATGCTCCTGGCCTCAGCTCTGCTTCAGTAGAACAGCACTTGGAAAAACAACCTCGCATTGCAGAGATGCTTTAGCAGAATATTTATTCAATGCCATAGTGAAGAGCAAAACTCGGTACAAACATAAACCCTCAGTGCCTTGCTCACTACTACACCGAGCCAAGGGAGAACGGACTTCACAGTCTTGGGGGAGGAGGGAGGAAGGTAGAGGCTGTTCCTTTGCCGTGTGACTGGACAGAGCTGGATGTGGACCCTGTGTGTGCACACACAAAGAGCTCCCTTGTTTCTGGAAGTCCTATGATGACAGAAAACCTGAGTACAGGGATTTTGGATAAAGCCATGGGCTCCTGCTGGGCAGAGCAGAAGGAGGGTACAAACCCTTCCGTCAGGGGCGGTTAAAGCCATCAGTGCACGTCAAGACTGTATTTGCTGCCTCCATTAAGTCTATTTGCAACCCAGGGCTGTGAGTGGCACAGACAACTGCCCCAGTGCTCCCAGGGGAGTCCCGAAACACCTCCCCAGCCCCTGGCTGGGACCTGGCTCCTTTCCAGATGCAGCCCAGCTCCCAGAAGCAGCTGCAGCTCTTGGGGTCACCGCCGGCCCCAGCCATCTAGGCCAAGTCAAGATTAGGAGCTTAATTTTAGACTCTTACATTTGGGTACCTGCTGGAGGGAGAAAAGCTTCAGGGACAGATGCAGAGTAAACACCACTGGGTTCCCAACAGCCTTGAGTGAGCCAGCTCCACCCTCGGGGGGTCACGGGAGGAGCTGAGCACCAAACCCACGGCACGTCAGCCCAGGTGGAAGGAAGCTTATTCAACTGTCACTTCAGGCAGAGGACGGCTGCGTTCCCCCGTCACCTGTGGGTGAATACCTGCAGCCACCCTTGGGTGCCTACAGCTCTTCATGGAGAACATACCACGAGAACCTAAAGTGCCACAACTTGAGTAGCATAGGAGGGAGGTGACCATGACCCCCCCCAGCCGCCCTCACGGCTGCCCCTGTGGGAAGGGGCAGCAGATCCCCCAGAATAAATACGTTACCAATGCCATAGCTTATTTAAGTGCTACTTAGCAGAGGAAGACAGAGGCAAAGCCAGCACCATGTCACCACCTGCCCTCCCCACTCTCAAGTTTGGAAACCTGTGATGCCCACACATGGTTGCTAACAGAAGGCACGGGCAGGCGTCCCCGGGGGCCGCACGAGACGCCAGCCCCAGCCCTGCCTCTCCCCCACTGCCCTCTCGCTGCCCTCTGGGGCCAAGACGCTGTGTGGGACGAGGCACTCAGCATTACCCAGCAGCCAGACAAGTTGCCCGTGGAGGTTTGGGACAAACAAACATTGATAAAACTACTATACTAAAAGAGTCCTGCAGTAAGGCAGCACAGCACTGTACGCGGCGTCTGCCAAGTGCTCTGCAGCCAGTAGCTCTCAGCAAGGCCGGGCACATCACAGGCTCACACAGTACAAATGCTGGAGACATGCCTCAGTCTGTTCTCAGAGACCAAAGCTCAGAGAGAGCTGTGACCAAGTAGCAGCGTTGGTGAGAAGCTGTGGGGAGCCCACCCCGCAGTGACCAGCTCGGGCTGCTGCCCGCCAGGCCCAGGAACAGGCCCTCGGCTCTTACATTCTGTCTTTGAAGCAGATGCTCCGAGAAAGAAGCAATTCCTGCTACCAGGGTCCCTCCTGACTCAGCAGACGGGATTGGTGTGCCCAGAGCTCGTCTCCATTGTGCAGGGCTCAAAGCTCTGCAAGCTCCAGAGGAGGTGGCCGCAGTGAGGAAGCTGCAGGAGCAGGTGTACCTGGGTTCAGCTTTTCTGGTTCATGAGCCAGGAGAAGAGCAGTTTCCTGGGCCTGGGCTTCCTGGCCTGCTGGATGCGCACGGTGCGAGGGGAGCGCCACACCTTGATGGTGGTGTCATCGCTGGCTGTCAGGAGCAGCTCCTGCTCCACCGGGCTGAACGCCACCGAGTTGACTACGTTGTCGTGCTGCAGCTTGGCCAGGCAGATGTTATAGTGCCGGTCCCAGATGTAGCCATGGCGATCCTCTGCCCCGCTGCGGCGGACAGGACACCAGAAAGCATATCACCCCCGCAGCCCCAATGACCTGCTGCTCCCAAGCCCTTCCTTCCACGCAGATGGAGGCAGAGGGTGCCCCAGCCTGGCCAGAGGCCCTAGCCTCCATCTGCAGCTCCCTCTGGGATCCAGAGGCTGTTTGAGGAGCCCCCCACTCCAACTCCCCCCATAGCACCCACTGCTCACAGCCCCCAAAGGCATTTGCCACCTGCTGCCAAACATGCCACAACCCAAAGTTTCCCCTTTCCTCACTGATTTCACAACAGGACCAGGGTGGACAGCACCCTCTGATTCACTCCCTCTGCTCTTCATAAACCTCCCGTTTCCCGCAGCGCTTACAACACACAGGCATTTCCAGCTCGCAGACCTGGCCCACTTGCACAAGCCATGCTGCAGTGCTGGCCCCCAGGTTCTCCCGAACATGGGGTCAGCACGCTGCCCACCCCTGTCACCACGCACCTTGCTACGAAGTCCTTGCTGACGTCCAGGAAGATGAAGAAGCACTCCTCGTTGGGCGTGTAGGCCCGATGTGCGCGGAGGGCTCTTTTCACCTCCTTCATTGTCTTCAGGTCAAACACGTGCAGATCGATCTCCTCAGCAATGGGGGGCGGCTGCATCGGGTCGGAGATGATGCAGTCCCGAGGCCAGGCACGGCTGTTCACGTACAGGTACCTTGGGGAGGGGAGCAGAGGGGTTACCTGCACCTCACCACACGTGACGAAGCTCACAGAGCCCCAGCTGTAAATGCACAGCGCAGTCAGGCAGGGCAGGGCCCGAGCAGTTGCTCTGGTCCTTAGCAAACCTGCAGCTCCGCTCACTACAATCCAGGCTGAAACACAGGAACACGTTGCTGAACCACATCCTGCCCTGTTTGGAAAGGCAAAGGCCACCACGAGTGGGACGGTGGGCCCTAGGGGTGAGGGTCAAGCCTCTTTAATCCCATTAAAACCAACTTGAAGGATGGTGGTGGATTGATCTGCCTCGGGAACAAGACACATCTATGTGGGCATCTCCGTCGCTCTCACGAGGCTCCTTGCCTGACCCTACCCTGAACCAGGCTCAGGGGCGCAGCGGGAGGACAGCACTCCTGGGGAGACGCTGAGGCCGTATGCACACCATCAGCACTAGGATGTAAATGGGGTGTGAAAGAACAGAGGGGCCTCGGCAGTCACCCTGCTCCATCCACTACAGTCTTGTCTTCTCCTGCTCACCCCACAGAGGCCCTAAGCAGCTGTTGCCCACCCCCTGCACCCCCTGAAGCTGGGACTGCCACCCCAGCACACTCACCTGTGGTCAGGGGAGAGGCCCATGCCAATGATGTGCCCATGGATGTCGATGACATGATCCAGTGAGTCAAAGAACTCATCTGAGCGCCTCTCCTCCCCAAGCACCGGCCCGGCAGTTGTCATCTGATGGGGCAGGATCCTTTTAATCCCTTGGGGATAGAAAGCAGAATCAGGCGGTTCTGCAGGCTGCTGCCAGCAGACAACAGGGCTGGCGGAAGTCCCCAGGCTTCAGGAAGGGGCTTCCCTTTGCGCTGCTAAGAAAGGAGAATTGCCTCACCTGCAGCAGAGGACCAGGACAGGGCTGCTGTCCCTGCCAGGTTCCTTCAAGCTTTCTCAAGTGGCGCTTTTGGCCAGGACACTGCCCAGGAGGGACATGCTGGCACATTCAGCCCCAGACAGGGAGATGCCCAGTGCCGGCTGGTGCAGGCACACCTCGCTCCAAGCCCCCCTCCCTCCAAGCCCAGCCTGCAGTGCACTCTGAAGCACAAAGAAGCTGCGCTGGCCCGGGAGACGCTCTGGTTGCAGAAAGGTTTTTCTCCAAAAATGAATCTTTAGGCCAGGCCCATTTCCTGCAACATCCAGCCTGGAGAAGGCCCAGACAATGCGCTGGCTGTGGCAGGGTTTTCCCTCGCCACTGTCAAGTGTAGGTGGGGGTCAGGCCCAGAAAGCTCCACAAATAGGGGTTTAAACCCAAACTGGGCTTAAGTGCTTTACAGCTTTTGAACTTCCTAAGGGAGACACATATGAATCTTTAGGCCAGGCCCATTTCCTGCAACATCCAGCCTGGAGAAGGCCCAGACAATGCGCTGGCTGTGGCAGGGTTTTCCCTCGCCACTGTCAAGTGTAGGTGGGGGTCAGGCCCAGAAAGCTCCACAAATAGGGGTTTAAACCCAAACTGGGCTTAAGTGCTTTACAGCTTTTGAACTTCCTAAGGGAGACACATGCTACGGGTCAAGCCCTCTCCCCTTCCTGCTCTAGACAGAGGTCCCAAACACAAACCATCCACAACAACTTCCTAGGAGCCTCAGCAGCTCTTGGGCACATGTGGGCTTAATCCTCAGCGGGTCCAAGAGGAGCTGGAAGATGGCCCATCCCATCGCCCCTCTGAGGAATCACTGTCCAACACTCCTGATTTTAGCCCTTTCCCGCAGACCCACGTGGTGGGGGTGACACCACGCCGTGCCTCAAGTCTGAGGCCCTTCACAACATCGCTGCACCTGAACCCGGGCACTCAGGGCCTTTGCTCTTCCACCCAACTGGCATTGCTCGCCACATCTTTTGCCTCATTTCTGCAGCACTAAGCTCTCAGCTACGTAGCCCCCACATGCACAAGCCAGCGGAACAGGCGGCTTCGCCTGTGACTCAAGCCTGCCATCAGCACGAAGAAGTCGGGAGCTCGAAGGACACTCCTGCAGCAGTGCTTGCGTGTCGCAGATCAGGTAAGATAGCGCCAATGCCCAGCAGCCGGGAGCGTGGCTCCCACCAGCAGCCTGCGAGGGACAAGCACAACAAGCTCTTTCAAGTACCAGTTCTTTGGGGGCAGACAGCAAATGCACAAAGGCCAGTTCGACGCACAAACCGATGGGCAACCGTAACACTTTGCAGTGACTCACGGCTGGGAGAGGAGCCGAGCCAGAGTTCGTCCCTCCACACAGCCAGTCTGTGCCGCAGGCGCTGGCTGCCAGCCAGGGAGCCACTGGAGTTTAAAGGCACCAAAACCCACCAAAGCCTTGGGAGGCTACACTGGAAGTCAGGAGAGTCCAAAGGCAGACACTGCCTCTGCGCCACACTTTGCCTTCGCTTGCTGCAGGTTCCAGCCTGCGAGGCAGCGTTTGCTCAGCCCGGCGGATCAGGATGCGGCGCTGCGTACGGGGCTCTCAGGGCAGACTGCCCGCCTGCCGGCCAAGGCCCACCACGACTGTCTGCAGACACGGACAGGAGCACGGAGCAGAGCTACACTCAGCCCACATCGCATTCCTGACTTAGGTGGGCAATATCCAAGTGACTCTTCTCCGAGTTGCTTAAAGATTTGGGAGTTGCCTTTCCCCATCTTACTGGGTTGTACTGGTGCAGGACCAAGTACCAGGAAGGTTAGAAGAGCCTGCAGCAGGAAAGCGAGGCTGTCATTGTGCAAGCAGCAAAAGGAACTGAAACTGTCTGGCTTTACAGAAGTCTTCTTGCCTGGAAGCAGCTCTCCTTCCCTCCCCACACGTCTATGGATCTGCCTGGTCCTTTCCACTGACCTTCTCGGACAGCTTTAGGGCGTTTTGGAAAAAAGGCTGCCACACTACCTGCTTCTGCTCATCACTGCACCAATTTCCCATAAATTCAGACTCTGCTAGTCCCAGTGCCTCAACAAGACAGCCCCGGATGAACACGGGAAGTCCTAACCCAGAAAAAGGTCACTGGCAGCACCATTGCCTGGCTTGTGCTGCAACTACAGCCCCTTGTATGCCACCGAGCAAGGCAGCTAGGCGCCAGCAAGCCGCCTGGCATCGGCCTGCATGGAAACACTCCAGCCAGTACCCCACCATGAAGCCTCTCCAGGACCAAAACAGAGGTGCCCAAGCGTCTCACTGAGGCTGAAGGGCCAACGTGATGTCAGGTGACCACACACCGGACAGCAGGGCAGGCAGGGCGGCACAGGGGCAGGCAGG